GGGTCGGGATCGAACCCACGACCTCCTGTATACCAGGCGAGGTAGTTAACATCTCCTAGCCACCGTGATGATGATGATGACGATGAGAGAGAGATATATACGCAAACTCCAAATATACAGCAGCAGGCGTCAGGGTCGGGATCGAACCCACGCCCTCCTGTATGCCAGGCGAGGTAGTTAACATCTCCTAGCCACCGTGGCGCCCATTGAGAGGAATGGCTCCTTACCATCAACCCCACAAAAAAAAGTTCCAAGGCACCTGCCTGGCTTATTTCGAATGTTAAACGCTGACCGTAGCGTTATCACTCACTGCATCCCCTTCCACAGCCCCAATGAGTGACTTAGGCAGCTCATGGAGAGAGTGGAGAATGTACCGTCACCTGGGCAGTGTGCTCATGAGCGGCTACGGATTGGCAGCCGAGGTCTCACACTCACAATCGATCTGAGCGGCGTTATATTTCCATCGGCTGCGTAACGCCGCCGTGTGGAGGCTACCTGGCCCGTCGCTCCATTCCCATTCATGGCCAAAATCGGTGAGGAATATCAGAATCTGAAGAGTCATTTTACACTGTAGGAGGAACCCGATGAGCTATAAAGCTCTATTTTTTCACAGATATCCAGCAGGGAAAGGGGGGGGGGGGGGTAAGAACGTTCACAACAACAAACAATAGAATAACACGATCGTAGTGCACAGTACATGAAAGGTAAACTAATTTTGATTTAAAGCTTTCGTGACTGCAGGGATTCGTGTTCTTGGTTCTTTCGGTAAATTCACCACGTAGAAGGGAAACAATAAAATAATAAAAATATAAAACAATACAATTCTCACGATGTTTCGACTGCAACACAAGCAATCATCATCAGGTGTGAAAACCACAGCAAGAAAATTTGAAAAAAGTGGCGGTTTTTTCTTAACACGTTTAGTCGAAACGTCGTGAGAATTTTATTGTTTTATATTTATATATTTTTTTAATTTTATTGTTTTCCTTCTACGTGACTTTACCGAAAGAACCAAGAATATTTCGATTTAAAGCTTTCGTGACTGCAGGGATTCATCTTCTTGGTCACGTAGAAGGAAAACAATAAAATACTACAAATAAAACATAATAAAATAAGATTCTCACGACGTTTCGGAGGCAACATAAGCTTCCGTCTTCAGGCGGGACAGTCACAGCAAGATCGCTGACAGTCCCAGCAAGATCGCTTGATCAGCGATCTTGCTGTGACTGTCCCACCTGAAGACGGAAGCTTGTGTTGCCTCCGAAACGTCGTGAGAATCTTATTGTATTATGTTTTATTTTTATTATTTTATTGTTTCCCTTCTACGTGACTTTACCGACAGAACCAAGAAGATGAATCCCTGCAAACAAATCACCTAAACAAATACAAACGAAATTTAAAAAAATCCTCATCCTACCAGCCAAAGCCCAATGAGGCATTAACTTATTGTTCAAAATATACATTTGTCATGAAACCCGCCAATTGGTTACGAGTACAGCACGCCCCGTGTGTTGGAGAGTAAATCCACAACAACAACAGCAGGCTCATCGGGCGACAGGAGACATCCTCCTCTTTCGGTCTTAAATAAATAAACTTGAAGAACCAGTGGCATCTACATTTACAGAACGTGAAGAACCAGTGGCATCTACATCTGCAGAATGTGAAGAACCAGTGGCATCTACATCTGCAGAACGTGAAGAACCAGTGGCATCTACATCTACAGAACGTGAAGAACCAGTGGCATCTACATCTACAGAACGTGAAGAACCAGTTGCATCTACAGAACGTGAAGAACCAGTGGCATCTACATCTGCAGAACGTGAAGAACCAGTGGCATCTACATCTGCAGCACATGAAGAACCAGTGGCATCTACATCTACAGAACGTGAAGAACCAGTGGCATCTACAGAACGTGAAGAACCAGTGGCATCTACATCTGCAGAATGTGAAGAACCAGTGGCATCTACATCTACAGAACGTGAAGAACCAGTGGCATCTACAGAACGTGAAGAACCAGTGGCATCTACATCTGCAGAACGTGAAGAACCAGTGGCATCTACATCTGCAGGACGTGAAGAACCAGTGGCATCTACATCTACAGAACGTGAAGAACCAGTGGCATCTACATCTGCAGCACATGAAGAACCAGTGGCATCTACATCTACAGAACGTGAAGAACCAGTGGCATCTACATCTGCAGCACATGAAGAACCAGTGGCATCTACATCTACAGAACGTGAAGAACCAGTGGCATCTACATCTACAGAACGTGAAGAACCAGTGGCATCTACATCTACAGAACGTGAAGAACCAGTGGCATCTACATCTACAGAACGTGAAGAACCAGTGGCATCTACATCTACAGAACGTGAAGAACCAGTGGCATCTACATCTGCAGAACGTGAAGAACCAGTGGCATCTGGTTCTTCACACTTGGGTGGGGGGTGGGGGTGTGTGGGGAGGCTCTTTGTCTTTGTTGTGCGCGTGAGTGACACGGCCATCGTTAACCCACGGTTACTAATTCTCCTCCCAACTCCTCACTACACAACAACAACAACCGCCATTCGCCACTAAGTGGCGGTGACGTCACCACGACGCTTGTGCCAGGCCATGTGCACCTTGAGGCCACGTGAAGTGTCGAACGCCCGCTGGCAGGAGGTCACGGGGCAGACCCAGCAGGTGCCACGGGCCGACTGACTGAGATGACCGAGATGGCTGGCTGATGCACCACCTGTGCCCCCTACTGTGCCAACCTGCTGTGATTTAGCCACCCGGCGCTCCGCTCGTTGTTGTGAGCGTCGCTCCTCCGCCCTCCGTTGTTGTTGGAGGGCGACTGCCTCCAACTGCCCAGTAGCAGCGTCCTTCACAGAGGAGGCACACACACAAGCCATGGGCGGGGCTTCGCCTGTGGGTGGGCGTGGTTAGCCCAAACCACCGCCCCCTTCCCCCACCCACCCAAACCTAGCCCCGCCCATTATTACTCGCTGTGAGGAAGGAGTCATCGCCCGAAACGTCGCCCCAACCCTCGTTATACATTGCGGTTGCGACTGGCCAGCGGTGGTGGAGTTACTTTGGGGTTGTTGGGAGCTTCGTGCCGTGCTGGAATCTAGCGAGCTCGTGTGTGTGTGTACACGTGTGCGTGTGTGTTCACGTGTGTGTGTGTACACGTGTGTGTGTGTGTACACGTGTGCGTGTGTGTTCACGTGTGTGTACACGTGTGTGTGTACACGTGTGTGTGTACACGTGTGTGTTCACGTGTGTGTGTGTACACGTGTGTGTGTGTACACGTGTGTGTGTTCACGCGTGTGTGTGTGTGTGTGCACGTGTGTGTGTACATGTGTGCGTGTGTACACGTGTGTGTGTGTGTAAACACGCGTGTGTGTTCATGTGTGTGTGTGTGTACACGCGTTTGTGTGTGTGTACACGCGTGTGTGTGTGTACACGTGTGCGTGTGTACACGTGTGTGTGTGTACACGTGTGTGTGTGTGTACACGCGTGTGTGTGTGTAGACATGTGTGTGTGTGTACACGCGTGCGTGTGTACACATGTGTGTGTGTGTACACGTGTGTGTGTACACGTGTGTGTGTTTATGCGTGTGTACACGTGTGTGTGTGTGTATATGCGGTAGTGTAGTGGTTAGCGCGCTAGCTACAAATACCGTCGACCCGAGTTCGCGTCCCGCTCACGACCAACACCGGTGACGAACCGGTCATGGACCTCCCCTAGGTCGACTCAGCCTCAAATGAGTACCTGGTGCGGTGTGTAAAACATCGCCACTGGGGGAGACAAAGGCGGCCGGGCGTGGTGCTGGCCACCCACCCCCTCGCGGTGCCGTGCCGGCCTTCACAGGTGCTGCTCGCTAGCAGCACTTGCCCCAACAGTCTGATGAAGGCTACACGGGGGATCTTTGTCTTTTGCGTGGGCTCTGGGGGAGCCGCCAACTCCAGGGACGATTAGATCCGAACTAGGGCCACGGGGTTCTCGACTCGTCCTGGCGGGGTGCCTTACAACACCAACGCTGGCGGGGAGGTGAAAGGAATACAAAGGCGGTCGGGCGTGGTGCTGGCCACTCAACAAACAAACAAAGATCCCACCACGCCCGTATAGCCTCAACGGACTGTAGGGGCAAGTGCCGTTAGCGAGTGGCACACGAGGGGGTGGGTGGCCAGCACCACGCCCGGCCGCCTTTGTCTCTCGTAGTGACGACGCTGACCCAGAATCCGTTCGGATGATCGTCACCGGCGGTGTTGGCCGTGAGCGGGAATCGAACTCGGGGCCGCCGGGTCGCAGCGCAGCCGCGCTAACCGCTGCGCCACCGCTCCCCACCCACCACTACCCACCCACCGCTGCCACCACCAGCACCACTGCCCCCCACTCACCCCTCACCACCACCCACCACAACTACCCCGAACCCACCCACCACCGCTCCCCACCCACCACTACCCACCCACCACTGCCACCACCAGCACCACTGCCCCCACCACCCCCACTCACCCCTCACCACCACCCACCACAACTACCCCGAACCCACCCACCACCGCTCCCCAACCACCACCATCCACCACTGCCCCCCACCACCCCCAACAACCCCCACCACCTACCCCCCACCCACCACTGCCATCACCACTACCCCCCCACCACCCACAACCACCATCCCCCATCCACCAATACCACCACCACTTACCCCCACCACCTCCACCCACCACTCCCACCACCACCCCCCACCACCAACTACCACCACTGCCCCCCACCACCCCCACCCACCACCCCCCACCCCCGCACAGACAAGTCTGCTGGAGGCTACACGGGGCCCCTTTGTCTGTGGTCCCGTGGTGACCGCGCACCACGGCAAGCGAGAGTGGGGGGGGAGTGGAGGGGGAGTCCCGTCAGCAGCCAATCACGACGAAGGTGGGGGGGGGGTAAGGGTGTGGGTAGAGTAGGAGGAGCTATCTCAAGCCCCGTCCCCTTTCATGCTTGGCCCCGCCCAGCTTCCGCCCCTCCCCCCGTCCGTGAAAGGGGGCGCGCAGGGCCGAGTGAGAGGCACAACGCCGCTCGGAGCTAGCGGATGAAGGCTCCGGCGAAAACGAAATTCCGCCAATTTTATTAGAAAATAAAATAAATCTACATTTAATAAATAAAAATATACAACACATTCGCCCCCCCCCCTCTCTCTCTCCCTCCCCCCCCACATTTTTAAACCGACGGATACATTTATTTATTTAATTTTTTCTCTCTCTTAAGGATTTGATTTTTTTTTAATCCAGGGTAGCATCCGAGAGTTGGCGATCAAAGGAGCGGAGGACAATCGAACGAACAATCGATCGACCGGTGGAATTACGGATCGATATTTCGAATCTCGTTGGAAAGTAGGCAACTATTATTTTCGGTAAATTTCTTTTGATATTATTATTACTTTCGTTGTTTAAATATGTATACTCATGAATAAATTAAACATAAATAATCCCAGCAGTGGAATTATTGGACTTTGAAATTTAAAATTTTGCTCCGTAACATTTATAATTTTGGCATATTTTAAAACGATAAATTACTAATATTATTACATCACTACCACTATTACTACCATCACGGGCAGCTGCAGCTGCGTCCTTGACACACAGACACACACACGTGTGTTCCAGTGTACGTGTACACACGAACGCGCACGTGTGTACACGTAACGAGTGTGTTGTTACGCCCGGCAAGTTAGTAGCGGTGGCGTATACATGCATGTCTGTAGATGCACGTATGCATGGCTACTACAACATCTAACATTTACTCGGGCTACAACCTGATCGGCTCAACCTCGGAAGATCAACATCACAGTTCAGTGTTAGTACAACAGGGACTAGCGTACAGGCCCATCACCAAGATCCTACCGAGTGGAGGCTGCGTTGGACTTTTTGCTGCTGACACTGCTCTTACAGCAGCAGCAGCATCGTCCGATTTGGTCGTGGATTTCACGAAGGGACAAGCACAGCTCGTATTTGCACCGGGACACGGAATGCAACATCATAGTCAGCAGCAGCAGCATCAGCAGCAGCAGCAGCATCAGCATCAGCAGCATCATCAGCATCCGGTTTGGGATGCGGCTGCAATGGTAGCGGCAACGTTGGGACAGCAGCAGCAGCAGCATCATCAGCAACAACAACATCAGCAGCAGCCGCCTCACCATCAGCATCACCATCAGCAGCACGAGATGGAGAGGCTGTCTTGGACCTCAAACACCAAGGCAGGGATCGTCGAAGCATCTCCACCGATCTCGTGGTCGACTTCGAACGGGCGACGTGAAGGGAAAGCGGGCGATCACGAGCATCACCACCAACATCATCATCATCAGCAGCAGCAACAGCACCACCAGCATCAGCAGCATTGGTCTTCGATCAGCAGGGATGTTAAGATGCCCTTGGCCACAGCTGATGATCTCCAGCGATCGTCATCGGCTGGACCACAGCAACAACCACCGCCGCCTCCAACCCCATCGTCATCGTCGTCTTCATCGTCATCAGCCGCGTCGTCTGCCGCTCTGGGCGTTGGTGGAGCAGGTCCTTCGTCGTCATCGTCATCGTCCTCCTCGTCATCATCGTCCTCGTCATCATCAGCTGGCGGTGGCGGCGGCGGTGGTGGTGGTGGTCCAGTGGGTGACACGTGGATCAACTCTGCACCAAGCCCTGTCAGCAGTCCGGATGTCAAGCCATGCGTGGAGGAGCTATCAAGTAGCTTGGCAGCTGCAGCTGCAGCAGCAGCAGCAGCATCAGCAGCATCATCATCAGCAGCATCAGCAACGACCAATCTCCACCACCAGCGCGTCACAGTGAGCGCTTTACTCCAACACCACCATCACCAACAACAACATCAACAACATCAGCAGCAGCAGCAGCACTCGCCACACGAGCACCACTCGTGGGACAGCTCGGGACATCATCAGCATCATCATCAGCACGCACACGCGACGCCTCTCTCGCCCATAGCTGCTGCTAGCGGTGGTGGTGGTGGAGGTGGTGGAGGTGGTGGTGGTGGTGGTGTTGGTGGTGTTCCTCTGCCTCACCCCGCCTTACAGGTGTACGCTCACCCTGGATTCATTCCGGCTGCGGTAGCGGCCGCGGTTGTGTCCGGATCATCAACAACATCGCCCACCTCGTCACCCACCAACCACCACCATCAACAACAACAACAACATCATCACCAAACACCGCGACATATCCACCCGTCCATCCACGCAGCGCATCATCATCCGCACCACCTCCACCATCAGCAGCAGCAGCAGCATCTCCATCAGCAGCAACATCAGCATCAGCCTATCCATCAGCAGCAGCAACAGCATCATCATCAGCAACAGCATCACCACCTCCAGCAGCAGCAGCAGCATCATCAGCAGCAGCAGTTGCAGCTGGCAGGCCCCGTTGTGGCACTCCTGCGAGATCCTCTGATTCACAATGACGGCTCCATGTCAGTGGTGGATGGTGGTGGACTATCGTCATTATCATCATTATCATCATCATTATCATCAGCAGCGGCGGCGGCTGCTGCTGCTGCAACATCAGCGGCAGTAGCCGCCGGCACCATCAACTCGACGTCCAGCAACCCCCTGTCAACAACCTCCTCCTCCTCCACCTCCTCCACGTCTCTGCTGTTGCTACACCCGAGCGGGATGTTGGATGCGAGAGACGGCGGCGGCGGCGGCTGCGGCGGCGGCGGCGGCGGCGCGTCGGACGACGAGACTCCCAGCTCGGACGATCTCGAGATGTTCGCCAAGCAGTTCAAGCAGCGGCGCATCAAGCTGGGCTTCACGCAGGCCGACGTGGGCCTGGCGCTGGGCACCCTTTACGGCAACGTCTTCTCGCAGACCACCATCTGCCGCTTCGAGGCGCTGCAGCTGAGCTTCAAGAACATGTGCAAGCTCAAGCCGCTGCTCAACAAGTGGCTCGAGGAGGCGGACTCGGCCACGGGAAGCCCCAGCAGCATCGACAAGATCGCTGCGCAGGGCCGCAAGAGGAAGAAACGGACGTCGATCGAGGTGACGGTGAAGGGCGCACTGGAGAATCACTTCCTCAAGTGTCCCAAGCCCGCCGCGCAGGAGATAACAGCGCTGGCGGACAGCCTGCAGCTGGAGAAGGAGGTGGTGCGCGTTTGGTTCTGCAACAGGAGGCAGAAGGAGAAGAGAATGACGCCCCCTCTGAGCCTCACGCCCGGTGGGGAGGAGAATGGATCCGTGGTTGGTGGTGGTGGCGGCGGTGGTGGCGGTGGTGGAGGTGGTGGTGGCGGTGGTGGTGGCAGTAATGGAGGAGGAGGTGGTGGTGGCGGTGGTTACCAAGAAATTGGAAGTCCTGAATCAAACCACGGACGGCATCAACACCACCACCACCACCATCAACAACATCAGCAGCAGCAGCAGCATCATCATCATCAGCAGCATCATCAACTGCATCACCACCCGGTGATGTGTCCAGAAACGATACCGTCGTCGTGAGATGAGTCGACGATGGGACGACGACGAGGAGGAGGAGGAGAAGCGGAGTGGGGATTTGTATAGACACCGTCCGTGCGGTTTGGTTGTTCGTGGCGTCTGCGCGATGTGGGACTCGATGGGGTCTAAGGAGAAAATTGATGGCATTCGGGGATCATTGGACTTTTACTGCAATGGCGTGGATCGGGTGTTTGTGTGTGTGTGTAGTTTTTAGGGTGTGCGCGTGTGTGTGTGTCTTTGTATTGTGTGTGTGTAGTGTAGTTTTGTAGTGTGTGTGTGTGTTTTATGAGTGTCGTTTTTAAGTGTGTATGCGCGCGTATGTGCGTGTAAGAGATGTGAAGTGTCTGTGTGTCTGTACGTATGTATGTCTGAGTGTGTTTGTACGTGTGTCTTGTATGTGTGTGTGTCTGTATGTATGTGTGTCTGTACGTGTGTGTGTGTGTGTTGTCTGTCGGTGTGTGTATATGTGTCTGTACGTGTGTCTGTATGTATGTGTCTGTACGCGTGTATACGTGTGTCTGTGTGTGTGTCTGTATGTATGTGGTTTGTATATTCGTGTGTGAATTAGGTTTTTTTCTGTACGTGTGTGTATGTGTGTGTGTATATATGTGTGTGTGGCTATGTATGTGTTTCTATGTACACGTATGTGTATGGACGTGTGTCTGTATATGTGGGTCTCTAGGGGAGCGGCAGTGTTGCGGTCAGCACGCTGCGCTCACGATCTCCCCTAGGTCGACTCGGCCTCAAATGGGTACCTTTGTACGATGTGCAAACATCGCCACCGGGGAGACAAAGGCGACCCGGGCGCTATTCTGGCCACCCACTCCCTCGTGCGCCGTGCCGGCCTTCATAGATGCTGCTCGCTAACAGCACTTGCCCCAACAGTCTGTGTAGGCTATACGGTGGGGGGCTTTGTCTTGTGTTGTCTGCACATCTGTCTGTATGTGTGTGTGTGTCTCTGTGTGCGTGCCTGCAGTTGGCAAGTGTGCCTGTATATGTACACGTATATGTGTGCCGTTTCTGTGAGTCTAAGTGTGTGTGTGTGTCTTTATATGCGTGTGTGTGTGTGTCATTTCTGTGTCAGTATGTGTGTGTGTCTATGTGTGCGTGTGTGTCATTTCTGTGTGAGTGTGTGTGTCTATATATGTGTGTGTGTAATTTATGTGTATTTGTGTCTATATATGTGTGTGTGTAATTTCTGTGTGAGTGTGTGTGTCTATATATGTGTGTAATTTCTATGTGTCTATGTGTGTAATTTCTATGCGAGTGTATGTGTGTGTCTACGTATGTGCGTGTGTAATTTATGTGTCAGTATGTGTGTGTGTGTAATTTCTGTGTGTGTCTATGTGTGTAATTTCTCTGTGAGTGTGTGTGTCTATATATGTGTGTGTGTGTAATTTCTGTGCGAGTCTTTGTGTGTGTTCGTATGTGAGTGTGTGTGCGTGTCTGTATGTGTGTGTGTCTGTATGTGTGTGTCTGTATGTGTGTGTGTGTAATTTCTGTGCGAGTCTGTGTGTGAGTGTGATTTCTACGCGAATGTGTGTGTGTCTGTATGTGTGTGTGTATAATTTCTGTGTGAGTCTGTGTGTGTATGTATGTGTAATTTATACGCGAATGTGTGTCTGTATGTGTGTGTGTAATTTCCATGTGAGTCTGTGTGAGTCTGTATGTGTGTGTGTGTGTCTGTATGTGTGTGTGTCTGTATGTGTGTGTGTGTAATTTCTGTGTGAGTCTGTGTGTGTCTGTATGTGTATGTGTCATTTCTGTGTGAGTCTGTGTGTGTGTGTCTGTATGTGTGTGTGTAATTTCTGTGTGCGTCTGTATGTGTGTGTCTTTATGGTGCATGTGTAATTTCTGTGTGAGTCTGTGTCTGTATGTGTGTGTGTCTGTGTGTGTGTGTCTGTATGTGTGTGTGTAATTTCTACGCGAATGTGTGCTTGTCTGTATGGCGGAATGTGATTGTATGCGTGTATGTGAAATGTGTAGTCTTTGTGTGTGAGTCCGAGTGTTGTGCGTGTGTCCGTATACTTTTGAGCGTGTGTCTGTGTAGGATAGTGAGTTTGTAGTTTTTAGCGCGCGTGCGTGTGTGTGTGTAATTCGTTATTAAACTGGTAAATATAATTGCGTGTGCTTAATTTTACGAGCCGACTTCCTGAAGCCTATACCAACCTAACTTAAAAAAAATACATCTTTACGTGTTATATTTTGTATCTTTGAAAGCAGCAATCATTCACTCGTGTGTATATGTATTATATGGATAACGGTTGCGTGTGAAATTGCGTGTATGAATATATATGTGTGCATATGCGATTGCGACTATGTACATGTATGATTATGAATGAGTGTATACGTGTGCGCGATTGTATGTGTTAATAAATATAGGTGTTCGCTAACAGCACTTGCCCCCAAATGGTGTGTAAGTCTATACGGTGAATCTTTGTCTTTGTAGGCGTGTGTGGGTGTGGAGTATGTTTGTGTGTGTATGTATGAATGTGTGTATGAATTTAGGTGCGCGGACCGGTCCTGGGACTCCTCCCCTAGGTTGACTCGGCCTCAATTGAGTACCCGGTGCGGTGTAGTAAACATCGCCACTGGGGAGACAAAGGCGGCCGGGCGTGGTGCTGGCCACCCAACCCCCTCGTGTACCGTTCCGGCCTTCATAGGTGCTCGCTAACGGCACTTGCCCCTACAGTCTGTTAAGGCTATACGGGGGATCTTTGTCTTTGCGTACGTGTGTATACGCGTACGGAATGCGTACATGTCCGTGATTATATCAATATATGTACGTACAGTACATGTACTTTGTGCGTGTGTCAAAACATGGCAAAGGTGCCCCGTGTAAGCAATGCAGGCTGCTGGGGCAAGTGCCGTTAGCGAGCACCTATGAAGGCCGGGACGATGCCGACGGCACCACGCCCGACCGCCTTTGTCTCCCCAGGCGCTGGTGTTTGTTCACGCATCGTAACAAGCTCCTGGTTTGAGGCCGAGCGGACCTAGCAGTGGTCCGGTGACCCGGTTCAAAAATCCTAGTCGCTGGATGTTGTGGCCGTGAGCGGGACTCGGGAACCGGTGCCGGTGTCGGCTCACCGCGCTACGGAACCGGAGTTCGATCCCAGGCCACGGCTAACATCAGTGGCGAACGTTATCTGAACCCGTCCCGCGCCTCCCCTAGGTCGACTCAGCCTTGAACGAGTCACCTGGTGTGGTTGGTGTAACCCAGCCCGTGCCCACCTGGTTGGATGCACGCACGTGTTGGTCGGGGCTCTCTGTCTTTTACGCGTCTCGTAGTTGATCACTAACAGCACTTCGTCTGTTGCAATCAAACCATTGTCTCTGTGTTGGGTCGACACGTGTGTGTACATTCATGTGCTTGTGCATGTGCCTCTATGTGTGCGCGTGGTGCGGCGTATAAACATCGCCACTGGGGAGACAAAGGCGGCCGGGCGTGGTGCTGGCCACCCACCCCGCTCGTGTGCCGTGCCGGCCTTCATAGGTGCTCGCTAACAGCACTTGCCCCTACAGTCTGTTACAGGCTACACGGGGATCTGTATTTGTGTGTGAATGGGGAGCGGTGGTGCAGCGGTTAGCGCTACGCCGCGCTACGATCCCGGCCACCCGAGTTCGATTCCCGCTCACGGCCAACACCGGTGACGATTATTTTAACCGGTTGTGGGCATCCCCTAGGTCGACTCAGCCTCAAATTAATATCTGGTGCGGTGTGTAAACATTGCCACTAGGGAGACAAAGGCGGTCGGGCGTGGTGTTGGCCACCCACTCCCCTCGTGCGCCGTTCCGGCCTTCATAGATGCTCGCTAACAGCACTTGCCCCAACAGTCTGCTAAGGCTACACGGGGGATCTTTGTCTTGGTTTTTGTGTGTGTGAATGTCATCGGTGCCGCTCGCTAACAGCACTTGACCCAACAGTCTGCTAAGGCTACACGGGGGATCTTTGTTCTTTGTTTGGATGACGGCGTGCTATAGGTGCTCGTTATATAACTTGCTCCAACAGTCTATCAAGGCTATACGGGTGATCTTTGTCTTTGTTATTGGAGAGGGAGCGGTGGTGCAGCGGTCAGCGCGCCGCGCTTTCTGCGAACGCGATTCCCGCTCACCAACATCGGTGACAATGATCTGAACCGGGCCTTTTTAGGCCTCTCCTAGGTCGGCTCAGCCTCAAAATGAGTACCTGGTACGGGGTGGAGTAAACATCGCGACTGGTGAGACAAAGGCGGTCCGGGCGTGGGTCTGAGCACACCACCACTCCTTTGTGTGCCGTGCCGGCCTTCTTGATAGGTGCTCGTCGCTAACCGCACTTGCCCCAACAGCCTCTTGAAGGCTATACGGGGCATCTTTGTCTTGTGTGTGTGTGTGTACGACATGGGCTTTTTGTGTCACTCCAAAGTCGTGTCGGGTATATGGGGGTCGTTTGTCCATACTTCACCACTCTGGTTAGTGCGGGTTGGTTATATGTGGTGGGGGGGGGGGGCTGGTGACCAGGATCGATTCGGATGAATCACTCGCCACGGATGTGTCGGCCGGGTTCGTAAGCGCAGGGCGCTAACCATTGCGCCACCGCTCTCCCCCGTACATCGATACTCAGCGCCGCTGTGCATGTCGAGATGACATCACCCATCAAACCGGTCATTGATGGCCATGCTGCATTGATAAGCCATCGTCATCAATCAGGCCAGGGTCAATCCACTGCTGGATGAAGACCTCCCTAAGCCGCCACCCCCTCCACCATCACCACCACCACCGTCAACCAGCCAGGGTCAATCCACTGCTGGATGAAGGCCTCCTCCAACCGAGGCAGCGCTATTCCTCACCGTGCTGTGTCAACGCCACGATCCACCCCAGCGGGCTGCTCTCTCTACACACGAGGAGCCGATTCCCGCGTCGCTCCGTCTCCCCGGAGGACCTCTCTCGGTGCCCACCCCCATTGGCTGACCACCTCCCGCTGTCAGCATGAATGTTATTGCGCTACCGACGAAGCAGAAGGGCACTTGCCCGGAACGTCGCCTATTATGTATTCATTTAACGTCCTTTGAAGGCCACCCGCAGGCACACACGCCGTGCCGTTGTGCTCGTGACACCACGTGCTGATGGGGGCATCGCCACGTGAATTCCATCCCTTTGGCTGCCGCTCCGTGCTGCGTCTCGACCATCCCCCCCCACCCACTGTGGGCGAGACGCCCGCTTGCCCAGGCACCACCACCACCCCGCGATCTATCAACTGCTGGATGATGATTATCATCATCATCATGTCTTTAACCAGCGAGTGTTCTCCAGTCCACGTGTTCCTCTCTCGCCGTCTCTCAGTGTAATTCCCCGCTTGTGTCTCACCGTGCCTTAATTATCACCACCATCGCCATGAACTATCCACTGCTGGATGAAGATGAATGCGATGATGTCACAAACCCTCGTGTGTTTTCTAATCCACGCGTCCCCCTCTCTCGGTCTCTCTCTCTCTCTCTTTCATCGCCTCTCAGTGTAATTCCCAGCATGCCTTAATCATCACCACAGTGATATGTTCACTGCTGGATGAAGATCAGTGGTTATTACGGCTCTTAACTTTCCTATGTGCCCTAACCCACGTGTTCCTGTCTCAGCCGAATTTCAAACGGCCCGCCTGTCTCTGCGCTATCTTTTTTCACACTCTGAGTGAGTCTTTAAAATTCTAAACTAAAACGTCTCGAGAGAAAAAAATTCCTCCGTACGCGTGGATTCCGGAACTGTTTCCAAGCACGCGTTTTAGTCCAGTATTTTTGTTTTAAATATATATGGCGTGCTATCTCTGGGCGCGGCAGTTAAAACAAGAAACCACCACCGCCACACACACACCACACACACACCGCCACACACCACACACCGCCACACACCACACACCGCCACACACCACACACACCACACACACACCGCCACACACACACCACACACACACCACACACACCACACACACACAACACACACACACACACCACACACACCACACACACACCACACACACCACCACACACACATTACACACACACACCACACACACCAGACGCTTGAATGGGAGGTGGGGGGTGGTACAGCACTTACTGTGATGAGTTTTTAAGATGGGCATATCGCGTGAGGTTGCTGATTGTGTGAAGTGTGGGTATCTCTCTCTCTCTCTCTACCGGTGCGTAACTACACCTGCGTGGAAGAGTAGGCAGAAATTCCCACACTCTAGCGGTCGCAATCAATTGAAGCGATGGGGGGGGGGCCTTGCCTTTAGCGAGGTTCTTAAAGAAACGTGGTCGATGCGATCGGTCACGGTTTTTTTTAATTACGTTATTTGTTGTTTGTTGTTGTTGTTCGTTGTTGTTGTTGTGGCTTAGATGGCGTAGTCAAATATAAAATGTGGTCGTTAACGACCACCAGCAACCCCGGGACACGTGACGGTCAGCAGGAGGGGTTTTATTTACATGACAACAACACAACAACACAACACGCGCCAAATGAGTTACTACAGCAGCACCAAAGACAAAGACCCCCCGTGTAGCCTGTAACAGACTGTAGGGGCAAGTGCTGTTAGCGAGTAGCACCTCTGAAGGCCGGCACGGCACACGAGGGGGTGGGTGGCCAGGACCACTCCCCAGCCGCCTTTGTCTCCCCCAGTGGCGATGTTTACTACACACCGCACCAGATGTATTCATTTGGGGCTGAGTCGACCTAGTGGGAGGCCCAGGACCGGTTCAGATAATCGTCACCGGTGTTGGACGCGAGCGGGAATTGAACTCGGGTCGCCGGGTTCGTAACGCAGCGTAGCGCTAACCACTACACTGCCGCTCCCCCTCCTACTACTACACCACCACCACACCACCACCACACCACCACCACACCATCACACCACCACCACAACACCACCACCACCACCACACCACCACCACCACACCAACACCACACCACCACCACCACCACACCACCACCACACCACCACCACAGCACCACCACCACCACACCACCACCACAGCACCACCACCACACCACCACCACACCACCACACCACCAACCACCACACCACCAACCACCACCACACCACCACCACCACACCACCACCACACCACCACCACAGCACCACCACACCACCACCACCACAGCACCACCACCACACCACCACCACACCACCACACCACCAACCACCACACCACCAACCACCACCACAACACCACCACCACCACACCACCACCACACCACCACCAACCACCTACACTCGATCGTGGTGTGTCGGAGAGACAATCACAACAGCCAAAACAACGTTTTACAACGCAAGTAGCTGGTTGACGTTTTCCTTTTCCCGCTGGTGATTACAACAACAAACAACAACAAACAACAACAACAACAAACAACAACAACAAACAACAACAACAAACAACAACAACAACAACAACAAACAACAACAACAAACAACAACAAACAACAACAACAACAAACAACAACAACAAACAACAACCGACTTCATCAGGCGATTGTGCCCAGAATTGTGAAGTTCACCCGAAAGTAGGGGGGGGGGGGGGGTCTGACACCCCACGGCAACCCCAAATAGATAGTTTCTTTGATAGGTTCTTTGATAGGTTCCTTGATAGGTTCTTTGATAGGTTCTTTGATAGGTTCCTTGATAGGTTCCTTGATAGGTTCTTTGATAGTTTTATTGATAGGTTCCTGGATAGGTTCCTTGATAGGTTCTTTGATAGTTTCATTGATAGGTTCTTTGGTAGTTTCCTTGATAGGTTCTTTGATAGGTTCCTTGATAGGTTCTTTGGTAGTTTCCTTGATAGGTTCTTTGATAGGTTCTTTGATAGGTTCCTTGATAGGTTCCTTGATAGGTTCTTTGATAGTTTTATTGATAGGTTCCTGGATAGGTTCCTTGATAGGTTCTTTGATAGGTTCCTTGATAGGTTCTTTGGTAGTTTCCTTGATAGGTTCTTTGATAGGTTCCTTGATAGGTTCTTTGGTAGTTTCCTTGATAGGTTCTTTGATAGGTTCTTTGATAGGTTCCTTGATAGGTTCCTTGATAGGTTCTTTGATAGTTTTATTGATAGGTTCCTGGATAGGTTCCTTGATAGGTTCTTTGATAGGTTCCTTGATAGGTTCTTTGGTAGTTTCCTTGATAGGTTCTTTGATAGGTTCCTTGATAGGTTCCTTGATAGGTTATTTGATAGTTTTATTGATAGGTTCCTTGATAGGTTCTTTGATAGGTTCTTTGATAGGTTCCTTGATAGGTTCTTTGGTAGTTTCCTTGATAGGTTCTTTGGTAGTTTCCTTGATAGGTCCCTTGATAGGTTCTTTGATAGTTTTATTGATAGGTTCCTTGTTAGGTTCCTTGATAGGTTATTTGATAGTTTTATTGATAGGTTCCTTGATAGGTTCCTTGATAGGCTCTTTGATAGGTTCATTGATAGGTTCTTTGGTAGTTTCCTTGATAGGTTATTTTATAGGTTCCTTGATAGGTTCCTTGATAGGTTCCTTGATAGGTTATTTGATAGGTTCCTTGATAGGTTCTTTGATAGGTTATTTGATAGGTTCCTTGATAGGTTCCTTGATAGGCTCCTTGATAGGTTCCTTGATAGGTTCTTTGATAGGTTCTTTGATAGGTTCCTTGATAGGTTCTTTGGTAGTTTCCTTGATAGGTTCTTTGGTAGTTTCCTTGATAGGTCCCTTGAGAGGTTCTTTGATAGTTTTATTGATAGGTTCCTTGATAGGTTCCTTGATAGGTTCTTTGATAGTTTTATTGATAGGTTCCTTGATAGGTTCTTTGATAGTTTTATTGATAGGTTCCTTGATAGGTTCCTTGATAGGCTCTTTGATAGGTTCATTGATAGGTTCTTTGGTAGTTTCCTTGATAGGTTATTTTATAGGTTCCTTGATAGGTTCCTTGATAGGTTCCTTGATAGGTTATTTGATAGGTTCCTTGATAGGTTCTTTGATAGGTTATTTGATAGGTTCCTTGATAGGTTCCTTGATAGGCTCCTTGATAGGTTCCTTGATAGGTTCTTTGATAGGTTCCTTGATAGGTTATATATTCTTAGCTCTTTCGGTAAAGTCACGTTGAAGGGAAACAATAAAATAATAAAATATATATAAAACAACAAAAATTCTCACGTTGTTACGACCATATCACAAACGGTCATTATGATTTTATTGTTTCCCTTCAACGTGACTTTACCGAAAGAGCTAAGAATATGAATTGCTGCAGTCACGAAAGCTTTAAATCCTTGATAGGTTATTTGATAGGTTATTTGATAGGTTCCTTGATAGGTTATTTGATAGGTTATTTGATAGGTTCCTTGATAGGTTCCTTGATAGGTTCCTTGATAGGTTATTTGATAGGTTATTTGATAGGTTATTTGATAGGTTCCTTGATAGGTTATTTGATAGGTTCCTTGATAGGTTCCTTGATAGGTTATTTGATAGGTTCCTTGATAGGTTCGTTGGTAGGTTCCTTGATAGGTTATTTGATAGGTTATTTGATAGGTTCCTTGATAGGTTCCTTGATAGGTTCTTTGATAGGTTCCTTGATAGGTTCCTTGATAGGTTTTTTGATAGGTTCCTTGATAGGTTCCTTGATAGGTTCCTTGATAGGTTATTTGATAGGTTCCTTGATTGGTTCCTTGATAGGTTATTTGATAAGTTGTTTGGTAGGTTCCTTGATAGGTTCTTTGATAGGTTCCTTGATAGGTTCTTTGATAGGTTCCTTGATAGGTTCCTTGATAGGTTATTTTATAGGTTCCTTGATAGGTTCCTTGATAGGTTCTTTGGTAGGTTCCTTGATAGGTTCCTTGATAGGTTCCTTGATAGGTTCTTTGATAGTTTTATTGATAGGTTCCTGGATAGGTTCCTTGATAGGTTCTTTGATAGGTTCCTTGATAGGTTCTTTGGTAGTTTCCTTGATAGGTTCTTTGATAGGTTCCTTGATAGGTTCTTTGGTAGTTTCCTTGATAGGTTCTTTGATAGGTTCTTTGATAGGTTCCTTGATAGGTTCCTTGATAGGTTCTTTGATAGTTTTATTGATAGGTTCCTGGATAGGTTCCTTGATAGGTTCTTTGATAGGTTCCTTGATAGGTTCTTTGGTAGTTTCCTTGATAGGTTCTTTGATAGGTTCCTTGATAGGTTCTTTGGTAGTTTCCTTGATAGGTTCTTTGATAGGTTCTTTGATAGGTTCCTTGATAGGTTCCTTGATAGGTTCTTTGATAGTTTTATTGATAGGTTCCTGGATAGGTTCCTTGATAGGTTCTTTGATAGGTTCCTTGATAGGTTCTTTGGTAGTTTCCTTGATAGGTTCTTTGATAGGTTCCTTGATAGGTTCCTTGATAGGTTCTTTGATAGTTTTATTGATAGGTTCCTTGATAGGTTCTTTGATAGGTTCTTTGATAGGTTCCTTGATAGGTTCTTTGGTAGTTTCCTTGATAGGTTCTTTGGTAGTTTCCTTGATAGGTCCCTTGATAGGTTCTTTGATAGTTTTATTGATAGGTTCCTTGTTAGGTTCCTTGATAGGTTATTTGATAGTTTTATTGATAGGTTCCTTGATAGGTTCCTTGATAGGCTCTTTGATAGGTTCATTGATAGGTTCTTTGGTAGTTTCCTTGATAGGTTATTTTATAGGTTCCTTGATAGGTTCCTTGATAGGTTCCTTGATAGGTTATTTGATAGGTTCCTTGATAGGTTCTTTGATAGGTTATTTGATAGGTTCCTTGATAGGTTCCTTGATAGGCTCCTTGATAGGTTCCTTGATAGGTTCTTTGATAGGTTCTTTGATAGGTTCCTTGATAGGTTCTTTGGTAGTTTCCTTGATAGGTTCTTTGGTAGTTTCCTTGATAGGTCCCTTGAGAGGTTCTTTGATAGTTTTATTGATAGGTTCCTTGATAGGTTCCTTGATAGGTTCTTTGATAGTTTTATTGATAGGTTCCTTGATAGGTTCTTTGATAGTTTTATTGATAGGTTCCTTGATAGGTTCCTTGATAGGCTCTTTGATAGGTTCATTGATAGGTTCTTTGGTAGTTTCCTTGATAGGTTATTTTATAGGTTCCTTGATAGGTTCCTTGATAGGTTCCTTGATAGGTTATTTGATAGGTTCCTTGATAGGTTCTTTGATAGGTTATTTGATAGGTTCCTTGATAGGTTCCTTGATAGGCTCCTTGATAGGTTCCTTGATAGGTTCTTTGATAGGTTCCTTGATAGGTTATATATTCTTAGCTCTTTCGGTAAAGTCACGTTGAAGGGAAACAATAAAATAATAAAATATATATAAAACAACAAAAATTCTCACGTTGTTACGACCATATCACAAACGGTCATTATGATTTTATTGTTTCCCTTCAACGTGACTTTACCGAAAGAGCTAAGAATATGAATTGCTGCAGTCACGAAAGCTTTAAATCCTTGATAGGTTATTTGATAGGTTATTTGATAGGTTCCTTGATAGGTTATTTGATAGGTTATTTGATAGGTTCCTTGATAGGTTCCTTGATAGGTTCCTTGATAGGTTATTTGATAGGTTATTTGATAGGTTATTTGATAGGTTCCTTGATAGGTTATTTGATAGGTTCCTTGATAGGTTCCTTGATAGGTTATTTGATAGGTTCCTTGATAGGTTCGTTGGTAGGTTCCTTGATAGGTTATTTGATAGGTTATTTGATAGGTTCCTTGATAGGTTCCTTGATAGGTTCTTTGATAGGTTCCTTGATAGGTTCCTTGATAGGTTTTTTGATAGGTTCCTTGATAGGTTCCTTGATAGGTTCCTTGATAGGTTATTTGATAGGTTCCTTGATTGGTTCCTTGATAGGTTATTTGATAAGTTGTTTGGTAGGTTCCTTGATAGGTTCTTTGATAGGTTCCTTGATAGGTTCTTTGATAGGTTCCTTGATAGGTTCCTTGATAGGTTATTTTATAGGTTCCTTGATAGGTTCCTTGATAGGTTCTTTGGTAGGTTCCTTGATAGGTTCCTTGATAGGTTATTTGACAGGTTCCTTGATTGGTTCCTTGATAGGTTCCTTGATAGGTTCCTTGATAGGTTCCTTGATAGGTTATTTGATAGGTTCCTTGATTGGTTCCTTGATAGGTTATTTGATAAGTTGTTTGGTAGGTTCCTTGATAGGTTCTTTGATAGGTTCCTTGATAGGTTATTTGATAGGTTCCTTGATTGGTTCTTTGATAGGTTCCTTGATAGGTTCCTTGATAGGTTCCTTGATTGGTTCCTTGATAGGTTCTTTGATAGGTTCTTTGATAGGTTGTTTGGTAGGTTCCTTGATAGGTTCCTTGATAGGTTATTTGATAGGTTCCTTGATTGGTTCCTTGATAGGTTCCTTGATAGGTTGTTTGATAGGTTCCTTGATAGGTTCCTTGATAGGTTATTTGATAGGTTATTTGATAGGTTCCTTGATAGGTTCCTTGATAGATTCCTTGATAGGTTATTTGATAGATTCCTTGATAGGTTCCTTGATAGATTCCTTGATAGGTTATTTGATAGTTTTCTTGATAGGTTCCTTGATAGGTTCCTTGATAGGTTCCTTGATAGATTCCTTGATAGGTTATTTGATAGATTCCTTGATAGGTTCCTTGATAGATTCCTTGATAGGTTATTTGATAGTTTTCTTGATAGGATCCTTGATAGGTTATTTGGTAGGTTCCTTGATAGGTTCCTTGATAGGTTCCTTGATAGGTTATTTGATAGATTCCTTGATAGGTTCCTTGATAGATTCCTTGATAGGTTATTTGATAGTTTTCTTGATAGGATCCTTGATAGGTTATTTGGTAGGTTCCTTGATAGGTTCCTTGATAGGTTCCTTGATAGGTTCCTTGATAGGATCCTTGATAGGTTATTTGATAGTTTTCTTGATAGGATCCTTGATAGGTTATTTGATAGATTCCTTGATAGGTTCCTTGATAGGTTATTTGATAGTTTTCTTGATAGGATCATTGATAGGTTATTTGGTAGGTTCCTTGAAAGGTTCCTTGATAGGTTCCTTGATAGGTTATTTGAACCCATCTACGTCAAGTCACGTAGATGGTTTCAAAGAAAGAAAACGAAAAAAATCTCACAAAAAACGACGACGTTTCGATCGCAACGCTAAGCGATCGTCATCAGGACGACCGCTTAGCGGCGCTTTTTTTTTCGTCATTTTTTTTTCCGACCAATCTACGTAACTTTTACCGATAGACCCAGATCATCTCAAAGTCGCATTCGTATCGCATCTCAACTTTTAAGGTCGTAGGATGGGGGTGGGATTTGCTTCTCCTGCTGACCACCCATGCCACCGGGCACGCGGAGCCCACATAAATTACATTGGCGCTGTAACCCCTTACTTTAAATAAATCAACAAACTCGGCCGGCGATCGTCGCTTTGCACAGCATTCGTGTTGACCATTCCGTAGTGTTAACATGAAAAAATAAACAAAAATATCACGATCTTCATATTATTATTATAATCACCATCATCATCATCATCCTCGTCGCTATTAAGCGGAGTTGCCAAAGTGGTGTTTTGTGGTTCAACCGCAACACTTTATCCTCTTTCGATTTACCCGACACCTGCCACCACCCCAGCCCCGATCTCCGGGCGCGGCAGTTTTGAGAGAGCACTCGGGGTGATGCTGTGTAAAAGTCTCGCATCGACGAATCGCCCCGCGGACCCGATCCCGCGTCTCGAGATAATCGCCTGTGAATCGTCAATGGAAATGACCACCCCCAACCCCCACCTCTTCACGCCGCCAGGGTGCTGTTGGGTTGGTCGCTCGCCACTGATGTTAGCCGTCAGCCGGGAATTGAGCTCCAGTGGTTGGGGAGGGGGGGGTGGTTTGTGTTGAAGTCACTGTGGCAGCACGCTAACCATTGTGCCACCGCTCCGTCCGTCCGGTTGTGGCAAGTTCCGAGTGTACGTGTCTGCGTGGTTCTCGGTAACAGCACTTTCCCCCAACAGTCTGTTGAGGCTATACGGGGATCTTTGTCTGTGTGCCGGCCTTTATAGGTGCTCGCTAACAGCACTTGTCCCCCAAACAGCCTGTGTAGGCTACACGGGGGGTCTTTATCTTTGTTTATTACAGACAGCACTTTTTTGTTTAATATACATAAATGAATGCATTTCTTTCTTGCTCGCTAAATATTCTTGTTGATTTTTATTTATTTTTATTTGGAGTCCGAGGGTGGGTGGGTGGGGGTGGTGGAGATCACCGAGTATTCGAGTTGGTGATGTCGGTGGTGATCTAGGCAGTTGAAGGCAGTCGTTCTCTACAACAACAGAGGGCGGAGGAGCGACGCTCACAACAACGAGCGGAGCGCCGAGTGGCTAAAGCACAGCAGGTTGGCACAGTAAGGGGGCACAGGTGGTGCATCGGCCAGTCATCTCGACCGTCTCAGTCAGTCGACCCGTGGCACCTGCTGGGTCTGCCCCGTGACCTCCTGCCCGCGGGCGTTCGACACTTCACGTGGCCTCAAGGTGCACATGGCCTGGCACACGCGTCGTGGTGACGTGACCGCACACTTAGTGGCGAATGGCGCTTGTTGCTATTGTTGTTGTTGGTGGTGGTGGTGATGGTGGCGATCCACGTGACATAGCGAGCAGCAGGAAAAACTGAACGTTGTGTACCGGCTTGCCCGCGTGATGATTTAGACTCCACTAGCCCCCCGGGACTGACAGACTGGGCCACACGTGAAGCGCTGCCTGAAATCTCCCTCTCGTGTACCAGGGACAGAGACAATCCCTCCCCCCTCCCCCCGTTGTGGCCTTGGCAAGACTGCCGGAGCAAAGTGGACCGCGCCTCGACACCCAGGACCGTTCGAAATGTACACATCACACCCATGAACAGGTGCCCAGAGACACACGCGCCCAAGAGTGTGTTCGCTACATGCGTACACATCACACCCATGAACATGTGCCAGAGACACACGCACGCCACGGGCGAAGGTTGCCTCTCGCTCATAGCTTTTTGATGAGACAGTTTGGGGCAAGTGCTGTGCATACAAAGACAAAGATCCCCCGTGTAGCCTCCACAGACTGTTGGGGCAAGTGCTGTGCATACAAGACAAAGATCCCCCGTGTAGCTTCCACAGACTGTTGGGGCAAGTGCTGTGCATACAAAGACAAAGATCCCCCGTGTAGCCTCCACAGACTGTTGGGGCAAGTGCTGTGCATACAAAGACAAAGATCCCCCGTGTAGCCTCAACAGACTGTTGGGGCAAGTGCTGTGCATACAAAGACAAAGATCCCCCGTGTAGCCTCCACGGACTGTTGGGGCAAGTGCTGTGCATACAAAGACAAAGATCCCCCGTGTAGCCTCAACAGACTGCCCTCACCCGTGGCACGCGAGGGGGTGGATGGCCAGCAACCACGCCCGGCCGCCTTTGTCTCCCCAACTGGTGACGTTCACAGGGGCTGAGTCGACCTCGGGGAAGGCCCAGGAACGATTTAAATATTCGCCGTCGTTGTTGTTATTGGCCGTGAGCGGGGATCGAACTCGGGCGGGGTTCGCAAGCTGCAGCGCGCTAATCATTGCGCCACCGCTCCCCTCCCCCGCATGACGCGAACTCGCACGCATTCACTGGGGGCCTGACAAGACAAAGATCCCCCGTGTAGCCTCCACAGACTGTTGGGGCAAGTGCTGTGCATACAAGACAAAGATCCCCCGTGTAGCCTCCACAGACTGTTGGGGCAAGTGCTGTGCATACAAGACAAAAACAAAGATCCCCCGTGTAGCCTCCACAGACTGTTGGGGCAAGTGCTGTGCATACAAGACTAAGATCCCCCGTGTAGCCCAAACAGACTGTTGGGGCAAGTGCTCTAAGCGAGCACCTATGAAGGCCGGCACGGCGCACGAGGGGGTGGGTGGCCAGCACCACGCCCGGCCGCCTTTGTCTCCCCAGTGGCGATGTTTTTTACACACCGCACCAGGTACTCGTTTGAGGCTTAGGGGGTGCCCAGGACCGGTTCAGAGAATCGTCATCGGTGTTGTCCGTGGGCGGGAATCGAACTCGGCTCGCCAAGTTTGTAGCGTAGAGGCCCGGACCTGGGCCTCCCACTAGGTCGACTCAGCCTCAAATGAGTACCTGGTGCGGTGCGTAGTAAACATCGCCACGAGGGAGACAAAGGCGGTCGGGCGTGGTTGCTGGCCACCCACCCCCTCGTGTGCCGTGCCGGCCTTCACAGGTGCTGCTCGCTAACAGCACTTGCTCCTACAGTCTGTTACAGGCTACACGGGGGATCTTTGTCTTTGGTTATTTTGACCTTATTTCGCAGCGTACATAGCCACCCATGCGCTGATCGGAGTCGTGGCGGGGGGGGGAACAAACTAAACACAACAACGACGACGATGAGCAGCAGTTGTAAACAAAATGAGTTTGTCAATCGAGATGATTAATTTAAAAGTGCATCACGACCCCCAGTGGGCTTCCAAATATCGGTGAGGAAGAACGTTCCAGACGGCCGCAAGAAGCGCGTCTGAAGGCGCCGCGCGACGATCTCCACTCGAGAAAGGGGGGGGCGCTCTGGACCGGGGTACTTGGCCTACTTCTCCGCGATGGCCAGCACGTCCTGCAAGACCGACTTGGGTGTTTGCTCACATTTCACACCCACCACCGCTGCTACCACCGGCACGGGTAAACGCGTCCTGCCGATCGTGGCGGCTTAACAGTGGAGGAGCTCACGGGTTCTCTGGGTCTCAGGAGG